AGAGCTGTCAATCACCCTAAATTGTATACCAAGTCACATTGGCATAGATGGTAATGACAAGGCAGACTCACTAGCAAAAACTGCCACTGCTCTACCTGTTGTACAGGTTCAAATACCTCCAAGTTTCTCACAGATTAAGGAGCAAATCAAGAAGAAAATATTCTCAACTATCAAAAGTCGCCACAGAGCCAAAGTAGCGGAAGGAAGATCCACTGCGATATGGTACGAACAAACCACTGGTTACTACTCTTTCAAGCCTGGCAAAAAGATATCCAGAGACATTGCAGTAGCCATACACAGACTCAGACTTGGTTACAAGTGCTGCTGGGAGATAATGAACCCAATAATTAAAGAGTGTCACATTTGTGAAACAGAAGCAGAGGCGCCACTGTTGCACTACTTACTGGAATGTGAAGCTACTGAACCCCTGCGCATCAAACTCAACATTAATCCAACGACAGCAGCTGCATTAGATGCACATTCCACCGCGACTACAATGATTAGAAAAGCCATTGATTAATGGGACTCATTAGCGAGCATTCTGCATCTACATTCGCTACCAAGATAATGTTAATAAAACAAGATTAAAACCAGTGCACTAAAACAGAAACGATAAATAGACAGGGGAAAAAGGAGGAATCCCCTCCTCCATTATAAACTTAGACCCAAATATCACAGAAACAATGTTATCGCGAATAACCAAACTCAATTACGGGCTCACCATAGCCCGTGCTACATGGACACTTCGTTCTGAGTAGCTAAATCTGAAACAACAACAGCAACAGGACGGAGGAGCAAAAACCGATTCCACACACAGTACCGCTCCCGTGCCAGGTAAGTCCACTACGGGCTCACCATAGCCTGTGCTACTTGCCCAGCTCCTGTGCCAGGTAAGTTACGGGCTCACCATAGCCCGTGCTACTTGCCCCGCTCCTGTGCCAGGTAAGTTACGGGCTTACCATAGCCGTGCTACTTGGAACTTGTTCCGAGTAGCTGAATCTATAACAACAAACGGAGGAGGTGCTCCGCTCCTGTGCCAGGTAAATCCACTACGGGCTCACCATAGCCCGTGCTACTTGCCCGCTCCTGTGCCAGGTAAGTTACGGGCTCACCATAGCCCGTGCTACTTGCCCCGCTCCTGTGCCAGGTAAGTTACGGGCTCACCATAGCCCGTGCTACTTGCCCGCTCCTGTGTCAGGTAAGCTACGGGCTCACCATAGCCCGTGCTACTTGCCCCGCTCCTGTGCCAGGTAAGTTACGGGCTCACCATAGCCCGTGCTACTTGCCCGCTCCTGTGCCAGGTAAGCTACGGGCTCACCATAGCCCGTGCTACTTGCCCGCTCCTGTGCCAGGTAAGCTACGGGCTTACCATAGCCCGTGCTACTTGCCCGCTCCTGTGCCAGGTAAGTTACGGGCTCACCATAGCCCGTGCTACTTGCCCGCTCCTGTGTCAGGTAAGCTACGGGCTTACCATAGCCCGTGCTACTTGCCCGCTCCTGTGCCAGGTAAGCTACGGGATCACCATAGCCCGTGCTACTTGCCCCGCTCCTGTGTCAGGTAAGCTACGGGCTCACCATAGCCCGTGCTACTTGCCCCGCTCCTGTGCCAGGTAAGTTACGGGCTCACCATAGCCCGTGCTACTTGCCCCGCTCCTGTGCCAGGTAAGTTACGGGCTCACCATAGCCCGTGCTACTTGCCCCGCTTCTGTGCCAGGTAAGTTACGGGATCACCATAGCCCGTGCTACTTGCCCGCTCCTGTGCCAGGTAAGTTACGGGCTCACCATAGCCCGTGCTACTTACTACGGGATCACCATAGCCCGTGCTACTTGCCCGCTCCTGTGCCAGGTAAGCTACGGGATCACCATAGCCCGTGCTACTTGCCCGCCTGTGCCAGGTAAGTTACGGGCTCACCATAGCCCGTGCTACTTGCCCGCTCCTGTGCCAGGTAAGCTACGGGATCACCATAGCCCGTGCTACTTGGAACTTATTCCGAGTAGCTGAATCTATAACAACAACAACGGACGGTGGAGGCGGAAACTAATGGGCAGAGTTTCTTTCACCCCGATGGGCCTGTTCACCTAGCAGTAAATAGGTACCTGGGAGTGAGACAGCTGCTACGGGCTGCTTCCTGAGGGTGTGTAACAAAAAGGATGTCTAGTCGAGGACCGGGCCGCTGGGACGCTAAGCCCCGAAATCACCTCGATATAACCTCAAGATAGGACCCCGGCCTTAATTCGTACTAACCCTTCGTGCCCACACTAGCTGCTCCACCTGGGCCCTGCGGACGGTTTCTTCAGAGACGGGCCCCACGCCCGGGGCTCATATTCATGCACAGGAACGGTCACCGGGTAGGATTTCGCTACAATGCTATACATACCTTTCTCACGGCACTTGGCGTTACAAAGGGCAATTATGCGCTGCATTCCTTCTGCATTGGCAGGGCTACTCAATTATGCTTGGATAACCTCCCGGCCGAGACAATCATGGCGGTGGGAAGGTGGAAGAGCGAGGCATTCAACCCATACATCAGAAGGGACTGTGTCACTTCACCCGTGAAGTCAGCTTCCAGCTGCCTGCTACCGCTTGTCCTTCGGGGGTAGGGGCGCTCCACCGGAACCCCCCAAAGTCTTCCACGTCTGGCAGTAGCGTTAGTACGTAGCTTAGTTAATTTCTGTCACTTATCTAACCTTTGAGCTTTGATGTCGAAAGGGTTTGGAAAGGATGGGGGTGGTAGAGTGATGGGGAGATAAAATTCAGGAAGAGGATGCGGGTGTAGAGAGAGAGGAGGTTTGAAAGTTGGGTGGCCTGTCCACCATAGGTAGACATATGTGTGTGTGTCGTTTGTTTGGGTATGTTGGGTTGTCAGTACATTGGCTGGGGGGCAAGTGTTTGTGTCCTAGCTGGTGTCTGGAAGCCCTAGAGCCGATGGAGTTGGCTTCAGGAGATTAATCTTAGCAACATCAACATCTTACCAGCTACACTTCTAGTAGCACAAAATTTTTTTTTTTTTATTTATTTTTTTTTTAATATTTTTTTCCTTTTTCTTTTCTTCATATCGAGGTGATTATTTGATTGATCGGGTCCGGGATGGGCCACTCATGTGGGTCGTCTGGCAGGCCGCTTAGTATTTGAAGTCTTGGGAAGGCCTCATCATGGATGTGTCTGATCACTTTTTGTTGGAGAGTGATTCTTGTGGTTCTGTGTGGTGGTTCATGGATCTCGTAGTCGCTGGTGGTGTTCACTGCTTCGTAGGGATCTTCGGGGGTCTGGGACATGTGCTTCATGCGGTACAGCTGTCTTCTGGCCAGGTAGCTGAGCCTGGTATTCATTGGCATCATGTTGAGTGTCTCATGGATTTGGTCAGTTCTTACCCTGTCCATCAGAGTCAGGCCCTCCGCAAAGCAAAGTAGTTTATTTTGTACCCGTTGAATTTTCGTTGAACCTCACTCCTCTATTGTCAACCCATGTCTGTTATTTTCTTTTTTTAATCAACACTGTTTGTCAACCTATTGTATTTGTGCTGCTTTTTCAGTCATGTTCCCCCCTTTTTTTTTATCTTTATTTGTATTTGTTCTCAACACTTTTTATTCTTTATGCTCAATTAGTATTAAGTTCTAGATATTAATGTTTTTCTTGCCCGAAACGCATTGCGTAATAGTGGCTTTAGGCATTGTATGTACTAGCTCTATCTATATATCAATCCATTAATGTAACATCACTTGTATGTATATACCTTACCTGAATAAACATATTTATTTTATTTATTTATTTATTTATTTCAGCATGTTGGTTTTGTTGATAAGGTTCAAGGGTACATAAGGGTACTCCAGGCTAGGCCTTATGAACATTCTGTACAGGTGGAGCTTGACGTAGGATGGGGCTTGCCTGAAGCGGAAGAGCCTCGCCAGTGAGCCCCGGGCCATCGCTGTCTTCTGCGAGACGTACTGGGAGGAGTTTAGTAGCCTGTTGAAGTTGTTTCCGAGCACTGTGTTGGATTTTGAGATGGCTATGGGTTCACCCCTGATCCTTATCCCCCTCCTTGTTTTCGATTGAGACGGCCATACAATCGACAGTGCTTAATTGAATCTTTTCTGGGTTAGTGGTAACTCATTATCAATTATGACTATGAATTAGGGTTACTAAGGATTTAAATTAACACTGCACAAATGAGTTACGGGAAGAATTGTACGTTTGCTAAATACATGCTAATAACTAAGCTTTTAAATCATTAATATTAAATAATTGTTATATTAAACAATTCAGAATTTATTATTTGTAAATTGAATAAAATACTATTTAATAAATAAGTAGGTTCCTGTCCCTCAGGTAAATTCAAGTAAATTAGTCTGAAACCCCTGAAATTAACCATACTAAAACCTTATTGTATGGGAGACTCAATGAACTTAGTTTCTTGTATACATTCTTGAATTTACAAGAATGCAAGAACTCTTGTATATATAAATACAAATAAAATAACAAATAAACTGTAGCTGCCAGTTAACACTGAAAATTATGACTGAACTGAAAATTATAGTCCACCATATTACTAACAGAAAATGGTAGAAAACCAATACAAGTTTCAAGGAGGAACAAAACCTCCTTGTTCCTTCTTGTTTAAATACTGTATTGACCGGAAATTCAGTAATTAAAACTTTTTCATTCATGTGTGTGATGATTAAATAGTAGCGTCTAAAGATCGTTAAGCTGATAAGTGTGTCAATGGAATAATTACTCAATCCCTGTGTGATGTCTACTTGAAAATGAATAGATGCTGCGTTCATCGAATACATTTCATTACTGTTAAAAATTTATTTTCGCAAAGAATTAATAAATATATTAAAGAATAGTTATAGATTGAAAAGTATTTGTGATTCCTAACAAATATTGTTAAATGCTTTATGTAAATATTTAATGGTTTAAAAATACTTACATAAAAATTAGTTGTATAGTGGTGGTGCTCAGTCGTGCGAGGTGTGGGTCGAAGGTGCACCAACCTATTCATACTTACCTGGCACAGGAGACACCGTGATCACGAAGGCGGTTTTCCCAGGGCGAGGCTCACCATTGCACTCCGGTGGCGCTGACCCTTGCGATTAACCCAAATGTGGTTAACTCGGGTGCGAAATTTTTGGTAGCAGGGGATTGCGTTCGCGCTAACCCCTTATTAAATTCTCTAATATCTATAATTGATTGCTCCCGGACAGAGAATCTTCCTTGATAAACAGTGAGGTCAGTTCATGTTCAAGACACATCTTTTAAAGTATAGAGTAGCTTAGGCTATTATGAGCACTCTGATTTTTAGCGCCATCTAGGGATTAGACAGAATAGTAATTTAAGTCTTCAACACAATTTATTTAATACTTTTACGTATTTAGACAATTTGATTGAGCAGTTTCCAGCCCTTTGTTGGAGCTTTAGACTACTAACTTGGCGGAAGAAACGGATTTAATCCAGGGATGATAAGACAAGTTCAGTGTGGTGGTTGGGGTGGTGTTCTGCGTCTCCAGCACTTTATCTGGACGAACCAGACGGTTAAAGTGAGTTTGGGGGCTTGACAAACACACGTTTGAGAAATTTAATATACTTTCGAGCGGAAGGTGTCGAACAGGAACCTACGCCTGCTACACCAGTGGATAGTTGGCTGTTGTAAGATGACGAACGTTTGTGAAGGGTTTACCTCTCTCTCTCTCTCTCTCCGTGCTTAGAACCCGTGACATCCATTGTTCGGATGCGCTCTTCAGCAACGCCTTGGATTGCCAGACTATCTTGTTCGTCAGATGACTGGTAAAAACTGTTAAGATTTTAAAATTTTGGTGTGTGAGATTGAAAAAACCTTCCTAACCTAATCAACTTATATAGACCATGAGGAGGAGAATTTAACTAGGGGTTGAATAGGCTTATCGAAAAAATTGTTAGAACTTGAAAAGTTCTAACAGTTTATTTATAACTGCTATTTATTTATTTAAAAGACTTACCTAACCTAATTAACTCTACATAGATCCTGAGACGAAAAAGTTAACCGCGGTCTGTTTGAATTAAACCACATTAAGTTCTGTGCTCACCTAGAAGTATTCACCAAGTTGTGCTTGCAGGGGTTGAGCTTAGCCTGTTTGATCCCGCCTCTCAACTGGTGTACAGATTCCTTTGCCTATTAGGCTCTATTGTATCTGCACTTGAAACTGTGTTTGGAGTCAGCCTCCACCACATCACTGCCTAATGAATTTCATTTACTAACTATTGTACTCTCATACTGAAAACATTCTTTCTAATGTCTCTGTGGCTCATTTGGGTACTTAGTTTCCACCTGTGTCCCCTTGTTCGTATTTCACCTATGCTAAATAGTTTGTCTTTGTCCACCCTGTCAATTTCTGTGAGAATTTTGTAGGTGGTAATCATGTCTCTCCTAACTCTTCTGTCTTCCAGAGACGTGAGGTTTAGTTCCTGTAGCCTTTCCTCGTAACTCATACCTTTCAGTTCTTGGACAAGTCTGGTGGCATACCTCTGAATCTTTTCTAATTTTGTCTTTTGTTTAACAGGTATGGCCTCCAGGCTGGAGCTGCATACTCCAGGATTGGTCCGACGTACGTGGTATACAAGGTCCTGAATTATTCCTTACACAAGTTTCTAATTACAGTTCTTATGTTGGCCAATTCGTTTTTGATGTGGGCCTCTGGGGACAGGTTCGGTGTGATATCAACCCCCAGATTTTTCTCTCTATTTGACTCTTGCAGGATTTCCCCTCCCAGATGGTACCTTGTGTTCAGCCTCCTGCTCCCGTCACCTAATTTCATTACTTTACACTTACCTGAGTTAAACTTTAGTAGCCATTTTCTAGACCATTCCTCCAGTTTTCCAGGTCATCCTGTAGTCTCTGTCTTCATCTGTCTTGATTCTTCTCATAATTTTGGCATCATCAGCAAACATTGAGAGGAACGAGTCTATACCCTCTGGAAGATCGTTTACATAAATAAGAAACAGGATGGGTCCGAGTACAGAGCCCTGTGGGACTCCGCTGGTGACATCTCGCCACTCTGATGTCTCCTCCCTCACAGTTACTCGCTGTTTCCTGTTGTTTAGATACTCCCTTTTCCACTGGAGCACCTTACCTTTTACTCATGCCCGTTCTCCGATTTTCTCACTTGCGATCTTTGTTCTCTGATCACTATTGCGTAATAGTGGCTTTAGGCATTGTATGTACTAGCTCTATCTATAAATCCATTGAACGTTTTGTATCTCACCTTGTATGTATGTACCTTACCTGAATAAATATTTGTATTTGTATTTTTGTAACGACCTCTTTTGGGGTACTGTGTCAAAGATTTTCTGACAGTTTAAGTAAATGCAGTCTGCCCACCCTTCTCTTTCTTGCCTAATTTTTTTTGCTGTGTTGACGTTGATGAGATCCCACATCAAAACACTTATTAATTTTGTAACTTGCTTAGTAAATGAATTTGGGGTTCAGTCCCTGAGATCATTACATGCCTCTTACCTTCTCCACTACCGGGACGGGTATGGTGTCAACTACCGTCCACAGGATGCGTATGGGGGGGGGGGGTCCACAATGTTAACATTACGGGCTATTCATGCCCGTGCCACCTTTTGGGTGGCTTAATCAATCACGGCCCACAAATAAGGAGCAGCGGTTTCAAGCTCAACAAGCCACAATGTAGAACAGAAAACGATAGTCTTTGTCACCCATGGAATGACCTACCCGTCGAAGCGGTAAATGCCCAAACTGTGTTGAATTTTAAAATCCAACTGGAAAAATCATCAGGGGGTAAATGACGAATTGGGGAAGATCTTCAACAAACTGCCGGCATTCTACTACCCAAAATCATCTACGTCCTCTAATTACTCAACACAAATCTGCTATTAGAACAATAACAAACTCTGGCCCCAGACAGCACTCGGTACCCTTACTTAAATCTTTGAATATGTTAGATATTAAGTCACTGCACATCCTCAAGTGTACTCTATATATATAAAACTCTGAACTGTAATGCCAATCCTGACCAACGATTCCTAGAACATTGTAACAGAACCCATGGGCACCACACTAGAAACTTAAAACCTATTTGATATTCCACGAGAGCGAATTAACCAAACTAGATATGCTCAGCAAATCAAGGGACCCAATACATGGAACGACCTTCCCAATCATGTCAAAGGCTGTACCTCTCTCGACCAGTTTAAGAGAAAACCTAAGTACTATCTAATAAACTCCATGCAACCTACCTTACCTCCTAAATATTTCCTACGTCAATCTATGTCTTGTTATTTTCAAGGAATATTGATTATTGACCAACTTGCTTAAACTGCTCATATCTGCTAGTACAGTATAAACTTAAGAAAATTGTAGTCTGTCTGTTTATTTAGTTAAATTACTTCTCTGTTCTGTTTCAATTTCTGCTGTTCCATCCATCATGTAATTATTATCATTGTTTTTTCATTTTTTTTCCCTTTTTCAATTCAATTTATGCTTTTGATCTCAATTAGTTTTAAGTTTTAGTCTAAGTGTTTTCCCACATTTGCCCGAAACGCTGTATGTATTAGTGGTTTTAGGCATAGTATATACTATCTAGAAATTCAACATTCTGTTTGTAACTCATTTTGAATGTATGTACTTTTACCTGAATAAACATTATTAATATTTCTGGTGTGGTGCTCATGGGTTCTCATGGGTTCTGTGCTCATGGGAGTGTCAATGACTGTCTCCTGCCATCACTAATTTCCTGAAACTGTTGTAGGGAGGGTCAACAGTCCTCAATATAAGGCTAAAGTTTACATATTCTCATGCTTCCTGTGTCCGACAAAAACAATTTGAATTAAAATATCATATATAAATATATTACATACGTTCTTGAGTTTATTTCTGAATTATTATTAGTACGTTCTCCCATTCACAATATAAAATTGTAGTTTAAAAGAAATACTGTCACTATGGCGGTGTGTCCACTCACAGGATGAGTGGCGCTGCCCAATACTGTCACTATGGCGGTATGTCCACTCACAGGATGAGTGGCGCTGCCCAATACTGTCACTATGGCGGTGTGTCCACTCACAGGATGAGTGACGCTGCCCAATACTGTCACTATGGCGGTGTGTCCACTCACAGGATGAGTGGCGCTGCCCCATACTGTCACTATGGCGGTGTGTCCACTCACAGGATGAGTGACGCTGCCCAATACTGTCACTATGGCGGTGTGTCCACTCACAGGATGAGTGGCGCTGCCCATACTGTCACTATGGCGGTGTGTCCACTCACAGGACGAGTGGCGCTGCCCAATACTGTCACTATGGCGGTGTGTCCTCTCACAGGATGAGTGGCGCTGCCCAATACTGTCACTATGGCGGTGTGTCCACTCACAGGATGAGTGGAGCTGCCCAATACTGTCACTATGGCGGTGTGTCCACTCACAGGACGAGTGGCGCTGCCCAATACTGTCACTATGGCGGTGTGTCCACTCACAGGATGAGTGGCGCTGCCCAATACTGTCACTATGGCGGTGTGTCCACTCACAGGATGAGTGGCGCTGCCCAATACTGTCACTATGGCGGTGTGTCCACTCACAGGATGAGTGGCGCTGCCCAATACTGTCACTATGGCGGTGTGTCCACTCACAGGATGAGTGGCGCTGCCCAATACTGTCACTATGGCGGTGTGTCCACTCACAGGACGAGTGGCGCTGCCCAATACTGTCACTATGGCGGTGTGTCCACTCACAGGATGAGTGGCGCTGCCCAATACTGTCACTATGGCGGTGTGTCCACTCACAGGATGAGTGGCGCTGCCCAATACTGTCACTATGGCGGTGTGTCCACTCACAGGATGAGTGAAGCTTCCCAATACTGTCGCTATGGCGGTGTGTCCACTCACAGGATGAGTGGCGCTGCCCAATACTGTCACTATGGCGGTGTGTCCACTCACAGGACGAGTGGCGCTGCCCAATACTGTCACTATGGCGGTGTGTCCACTCACAGGATGAGTGGGGCTGCCCAATACTGTCACTATGGCGGTGTGTCCACTCACAGGATGAGTGGCGCTGCCCAATACTGTCACTATGGCGGTGTGTCCACTCACAGGATGAGTGGAGCTGCCCAATACTGTCGCTATGGCGGTGTGTCCACTCACAGGATGAGTGGGGCTGCCCAATACTGTCACT